TAGCCTAATATAAATAAAAAAATAAAAAATATTAAAAAATACTATTTTATATATATATTTGTATATAGATTCTTAAACCTTTTTGGACAGGAAAGACTCCTTTTACTGAAAAAGCAGCCTGCTCAGCCCGACAACTCTTTACAGTACCACAAACCAAAGCGGTGAATCCCCCAATGCTTTCCTCACTGTGTTACTTTCCCATCCCCAAGTACCGAGGATGATATATCGCAGGGCTCCCTACAGTAAATTAAAAAAAATAAAAAAAAAGAGCTAATTTTCATCTTTTTTACAAGTAAAAAGATTTAAAATTTATCAAAAACTTCATCTTCCCCACTCAATCATTCAAAAGCTTTACTTACCATGGACAGCCAGAATCTAACTGGCCAAGCCTTTCTCCTCCCTTTAACGGTCTCAAAAAACTACAAAACTAAGAAGAAGCCCGCAGTCCAATTTACCTTGGATCATTAAATGCTAACCAGAGTACTTTAATCCGTGCATTATCTTATAATCATCAAATAACGCTCAGATTCTACAATGAGAAGCATGATTATATCATGGAGCCCACCACATGTTGGCTTCTCTTGTTCCTCTCTCCATCCATTTACCCATTTATGCGTTCCATCAACCACCATCGGATTCTTCGATTCCGGCAAAGATGGCCGGGAAAGATAAATCATTTGCAGTCATAAGCCTCCGAAGCTGGCTGCGCACTGTTTGAATTTGGGGTACAAAATGCACTTTATTTTATTCCCCTGTTGTTACTGTTTATAATAATGCTACAGTAGTGTTAATTCTGCATCGTTTAATAGGCATTTATATATCTTCCATTCCTATTAGTCCCCACCCTTTTCTTTCTCACAATGTCACTCCTAACTTGATTCATTGTGACCCCATGTATCACAACCAAATGACCTACAATGGATTCCCTTCTTCTTCCTCCTCCTCCCCTCCTCCTCCTAACTTCTTCCAAAGGGGATTCCTTTTCCACCCCTCTGTTGAAACGGAGTGCCACCAGCTCTCCCCTATCCTCCCCTCTACCCCCTGTGTCAATTCTCAGGATTTTGGAGGTAATTTAAAGATCTGATTTTTTAACTGTTTTGGATGTTTTGCAGGCATGTTTTTTATTTGTTTTTGTTAGTTTCAGTTTCAGGGGTGGCGGCAATGCTGGGGAAGAGGTCTGTTTGGAGCGAGGAGATGGCGGCCGGTGGCGGCGGCTGCGGCGGTGAGGAAGAGCTCTCGGATGATTGCTCGTTGCCCGGAGAGAAGAAGAGGAGGCTGAATATGGAGCAAGTGAGGACATTGGAGAGAAACTTTGAGCTTGGAAATAAGCTAGAACCAGAGCGCAAGATGCAGCTTGCAAGAGCTCTTGGGCTTCAGCCGCGACAGATCGCCATCTGGTTTCAGAACCGCCGAGCGAGGTGGAAGACGAAGCAGCTGGAGAAGGACTACGAAGCTCTCAAGCGAGAGTTCGAGATTATCAGATCGCAAAACGATGCTCTTCATGAACATAACAAGAAACTCCAATCTGAGGTGATAATGGAAGCTGGCCAAGATGGCCTTTTTACTCAAAAAACATTTTTTTTTTTGAAAAAATTATTCTGTCAAAAAAAACATTTTTTTTTTTTGAAAAAATTATGCTGTCACATCCGATCTAGTTTATTTGATGATTTCGCCGGTGTTGAATTTGAGGGACTGGATGTCATTCTGATTGATTGATTGATTGGTTAATTATAAATTAATTAATTGCAGCTGTTAACTTTGAAAGGAAGAGAGGGAGCAGAACTAATTAATCTGAACAAAGAAACAGAGGGATCCAGCAGCAATAGGAGTGAGAACAGCTGTGACATCAACCTGGATATCTCCAGAACGGCAGCCATTGATGGACCTTTGAATCCAAATCAAAGCAGCAGGCAATTCTTTCCTTCCTACAGGCCCTCACTAAATGTGACACAATTACCAAAGATAGAGAATGCCGTCACCGCCGGCGGCGGCGGCGGCGGAAGCAATGACGAGAACTTCTGCAACATGTTCTGTGGCGTCGAGGAGCCGGGGTTCTGGCCATGGACGGAGCATTGAGAGGATATGACTGTGCAATAAGGAAGTGCCTGCAGGGTTGTACAAGCTGGCATCTTCGATCTCTAAGTTAAAGAAAATGATACAAGGAGATCATGTGAGGCCTAATTATGCAAGCTAGCTAGTTATATGGAGATAATATTCTAGCAGAGAACAAGGGTTGAAATAAGGGAGGTATTTCTATGTTTCTCCCCAGTACAAGTGTACCTCCTTCATTCATAGAGATTGCTAAAGAATCTTATAAGAGAGTTGTGCTTTCTCAAGTAAATTTTATTTTTGCAGGACAAAAATTTTATTTTTATCAATATATATGCTGCATATTTGATTGAAGATTCATTTTAACTGTCTTATCAGATTGTCTTAAACTATTCATATGATGGGAAACATATATTATATGAGAATATCATCATAATATCATCTAAAAATATGAAAATTGGAGTAATTGTGGTGGTTGGATTGAGAGAAAGAGAGAGAGAGAGAGAGAGGGGAAGCGGAAATGCTGGAAGGTTTTGTAGTAAAAAAATGGTGATGAAAAAGGAAGGGATCCACCATGTACTGTTTTAGCTTTAGTTTCAGAAAAGTCAGCAATTATGATAAGACTGGACGGGACCATGTGACCTACTGCCACCCACTATGCTGTAACTCTCTTGGCTTCGCCTTGGATGAGATGGAGACAACTTCTATTTTTTTTTTTTTTTTTTTTTTATTATTTGAATTTCAGTATTTCAGTATATAATCTATTGAAAGATTAACATAATATATATAATTTGGGTGGTATGACTGCAAGAAGTAAGATTCAGATGTAAGATATGTAAATACATAGAAATTGGGAGGTATGCATGTAAATTTTTCTATATAACATATTTTCATGCATGGAATGATGCATTTTATGTTTTAAAAGTTAAAAAGGTGGTATTTTTATGAGATATGAGAGAGGTGGGTGGTATAAAAGCAAAAAAAAATATAAACTTTAGGTGGTAGATATGTCAATACATAAGAGTTAAGTGGCATGGATATAAATACCCCTTATATTTTTTTAATGGAATTTTTCATGGGAGATTCTTCTTCTTTTCCCTTAAATTTGTTGGTTAGTCTTCTGCTGATCTTACCAGTTGAGTTTGTAGAAGAAGACACTCAACTGAGTGAGTGAAGAGGATAGAAAACGTTCTTGTTGGAATGTCTTGATTAGAAGGGAATGATTAGGGTTAATTTGCAATAATACAATATGTTTGCATTTTTTTGTATTTGTACTGATTGAATGAATTGGTCATAATTTTAAATGTCTTTTTGTGAATTAGTAAGTTTGATCATTGATCTGCATGATTACTTATTGGGGTATTTGCTTGCTTAAATAGCACACAATTCTTATGTATTTACTTATCACACACCTTAACTTGCATATTTACACAGAGCACTCAATTCTTTATTGTCACATAAAAATGGCACGGTTTTAACATTTTAGAAGTGAAGTACACCTCTTCATGCATAGGTTTAAACAATCAATGTGCGTTGTATGTAAATATGAAAATTTAGATGTGAGATATGCAAATACATAGGAATTGTGTGCTAGTTATGTAAATTTTCTTTATTCATAATTATAAACATATCGTTTATAGTTAAGAAATTAATGAAATGCTTCTTTAATGATAAATTGAATATTTTTAACAAGTTTTATATATATATATATATTATGAAAGTTTCTATCACCACTCTAGTAATTAAATTTCTTACAATATAAACAATTAGAAAATTCTTTCAATTAATCAAATCCAAAATTAATATTAGCATCAGTTAGCAGCTGATTTTCAATGGGACACCAACGATGACATATTGGCAGGTAGCTGTTGGTTGTTAGTGGATGTTAACATGAGTTATAAATTTATTTAAATTACTTTTGAGATGAGTGTAATACAAATTTTGGATATATATATATATATATATATATGATTTTAAAATTTAGATCATATTTAAACTCAACTCCAATTGAACAAAAAAAATAATTTAATTAGTAATGGTACTCAAGTTGATTTACTTATTCATAATCTTACTTGTCCCAAAAATAGAAGATGACACAAGATTCTTTGAGCTTGAAAAAGACCTCCCAACATCTAGGTTAATTAAAATGATATCATGTTATGTGGCTATAAATTCCATAAGAGGGTTGAGAGAAATGCTAAATGCACAAATTTTAGAATAGGAATACAAAAAATGGTTGCCTAATATGTAAAGCAAAACTCTAGAGGTTTTAATGTCGAGACAAATTATGATAGTTAATATATGGATGAGACAAAGTTTATAGAATGAAGGTGTTTAGGTGTATTTAATATGTTTCATATTGGCTTATAAGCAACATATATCTATGAAAATTACTTCTTAGCATTTTATTTTAGCACATTATATTGTACAATAATGTTTTAGCTAATCTTTCCATAACATTTGTGTATTTAATGACTTATGTGAGAGATCATGGTAAATATTTTAAGATAACAAACCCATTTATGATGATGGAATCAAGCTCTAGTTATATAATATAGAAAATTAGCCTTATGATATGATGAATAACAATCATGGCCATGCAAATTGTCTAGGTTAATATGTTTCATTTATATTAAAGGGGAGTAACTAGCCTCTTTTTTAATGGGGGTCGGCAAACTGCCCTCCTTCACCCGATGTGAGATACGCTAAAGCAACGAAAGGTGAAAAGAAATTTCAGAAGGGGTAAGAAAAAAAATTTTCCGCTCATATAAGTTAAAAATCTGAATTTGAGAGGGGTGGGGAGTAGCAATTGCCTCCTCTGGACCCTTCCTGGATCCGCCCCTGCGTACAACCATATTAATAAGTAGAGTGCATGACCAATGTCATCACCATAAAAGATAATTTGAATTGCTTATTTTATGTATTTGAGAGACATGTAGACTAGCTCTCTTATTTTCATATATAGGAAACAATATTAACTGCATGATAGGATTATTATATAGTTGAAAAAAAAATGAGATGAATTAAATGACAATTAATATGGATGCCACAAGATATGTCTTATTTATTTTGAGATTTTAAAAAAAAGAATCACTAAAATAATGAATCTATTATAGCTTATATTATCATAATTGATGATGTACATTTTAAGATATATAGTAAATTACTTTCATTTTGATACAAAATGAAATGATTGAATAATTTGATGATCTAAGAGTTGATATTTAAGATTTTTCATATGATGTATAATATATTTTTAACATAAAATGAATTTGAACACTTAAATCATATGATTTTTACATATATCATTTCTATATATGAATGAAATAACAAAAATATTTAATCAATTAAGTATGATAAAATTATAGATGATATAAGCCTATAAAAAAAGTTATAAACTTGATATGACTTAGCAAAGCATGATTGATACACATGCCTTACACTTCATTTGTAATTGATTAATTCATTTCTCTCATTGAAATGTGTGATAAGAATGTGTTTGCATCATGTGTTCAAGCATCTTATTTTACTCATAATGTAATTAAACTTTAATCTATAAATTTGATTTTTTGTTGGGTTATGGTTTATTCTTGCATATACTTACATTTATTATTTCTGGGCAATGAAGGCATATGGTTCTATATTTTGATGCATTTTGATATATATTTGGATCTATATTTTTTAGGCCTATAGCTTATGTTATCATAAATGAAAAAAAAAATGATTTCAATATTATTTTATATTTTTTATGATTTAATTGATTCATTTATTAGTAAAAATTTAAAATTATTTTCAAGAAATAAATTTATTTAGTTTTAAATTGTTCAAATTATAAATACTTAGAAAATTCAATATGAAAACAGTTAATTTTTTTTTACTATATTTAGATTATTATATGAGTCTAAGGTTTAAATAGGCTGATTAATGAAATTGTTTGAGGGAAAGTTACATACATAGCTCCCAATTCTTATGGATTTACCTATCACACTCCTAAACTTGTATTTTTAAGACATAACACTTCCTGTGGATGAAAAGATGGATTTGATTATTAAAAAGTGATACTAAGTGCTATTTTTCATATCATGTTTGCAATTATGAAAGTTTAGGCGTGAGATAGATAAATATGAATGTTTTGGGTGCTATGCATAAAAAACCATCATTATTTAATTATTTATTATGAAAATTTTGCTTTTATGCTTTAATTAATTAATGTTAGTAAAGTGATTAACAACAAACTAAGAAATCTTAAGAGAGGCTAAGAGAAGGTTTAAAAATTATTTGAATTATTTTTCACATGAAATATTTTTAAATTTTAAATAGCCCAATGATTTGTTTCAATATTCCTTGAGAAAATTTTCAAAGATCAATCATCATCTAAGGAGTCTCTCCCAAGAGTTTAGATTAATCAAATTGATTTGACCACCTCACTAACAAATCTCTCACTAATAGTTGTATTTCAGCTAATAATTGAGATTATTTGGCTGAAAATTTTTAGTTGTAAATACTCTTTGTTCATAATGATTTATCGATTGAACTTTTAAAACACTAACTTTACCGATTAATTTGCGAATGATTTTTCGGCCGATAAATTATTACTAGCTGAATTATAAATTGCTAACTTGGTTGGTTGAATATATGACAGATCAATTCGTCGCCAAGTTTGTATCTAATTTTATATACCTGCAACAAAAATATAAAATAAATAACATCCATATCCACAATATCTGTCAGCGTATTTTCTGTCCGGACTCCTGACGTAGCTCTACTGTCAGCGTATTCTCTGTCCGGACTCCTGATGTAGCTCTACGTGCGGCGTAGGTTATTCCCAAGTTATTTTCAGGTTAAAATAACCCAGAAATAACCTGCGGTCTTTATTTTTAGGTTATTTTGGTATTTGATAGTTCTCTTGTATTACCATTAAATTTTATTTAATATGATTTTGTATTTCCTTAATAAATCAAGATTGGCATAAGGTGCGGAAAGCATTAGGTCTCTTGCGTCAATGAAGGTTAGGGAGAGGGGCGAAAAGCATTATTGAAGTTTAGGCGGGCGAGATGAGTGTATTAGGTCATTTGTGTTTGATTTCCGTCTAATTTATGTCGAAATTAGTTCGACGCGAACAAATAAAATATTTACGTAGTTTTGTTGGACGCGAGTTTTACACAACATCCGTTGCAACTCTAATTAAAGTTTCATCGTATTCAGAATGCTTTTGCCGATAATTTTTTTTTGTGCAAATCGGACGCAAAATCCGCCGTAAATATCAAAATTTATTATTCGCCGCTTAACAGCTATAAATTTAATGCTAATAATTACATTGGAAAAATCTAACGAAAATATCAGATGTTAATTAC